AATTTCAATACTTCTTTAAAAGGTGCAGTAAAGAACTGATCTTATATTTTTTTTCGCAATTCGCTTTTCGCAGAATTATTAGTTTAATATTGTTTCCGAAAAATCATAAGATTTGGATTTCCCTCTTACAGAAGCCTCCATGGAATTTCGTAACCTATTTCAACGACTCCTTTGAGGTCAAAGGAGGAAGAGACGACAAAGTTTTGAGACTATTGGCTTCCAAACTCAATTTTAGGTAAGCATCTATACTTTGAGATTTTTAAATTTATATTCCTATTTATAATGTTAGGTTATATTTGGAAAAATCCAATCACATAGCCTTGTGTTTCTAAAATGGAGGTAAAAATGAAAATAACCGTCAACGCTACGCTAATTCAGGCATAGTCAGGACAGAAAAAAGTGGTGATATCACTCCACGGACATCAAATCACATACTGAAAGTAAATAAGAAAAAGTTTTCTTTCAGTATGTGATTGAATGTCATGGAATGATGTGATCTTGTTTGTTTCTGTCCTGACAATGCCTGAATTGGTGAACCATTGATGCACGGTGGGCCAAATATAATGCATATATTTTCTTTCTCATTGTATATTTACTTTGTTTTTTTATATTATATTTATTATTAATTTAATTAACTACATGTTATTACGAAATCTCGTTATATATTAATTGTTTATCTGTCAGTATATCGTTCGTTTGGAAGAAGAGTGCTACAATGCGAAAATATTAATTTTTTTCTCGCTTGAGTCTTCTACTCACCTATATATCTTTATGAAAAATAATTCAGATTTTATATTTTTATATTTACTTTATTAGCAGCTTTTTTTTTTTAATGAAAAACGTCCACAATTTAATTACTCATTCACATTTGAATGATCAAAAAATTGAGATAGTTTTTTTTCACACGAATAACGAGAATATGGAAAAAATTTCATATTTGATATTCTAAATTAGATCTTAGTGACAATCACATTTTCATAATCACTTTAAAAGTAGATTATCTGTAATATAGTTGGAGGATGATAAAATAAAATGCAAATAATTTATGATTTAAAAAAAAAAAATACTGGCCTTAGTTTAGCCGCTCAAATGTTCTATTTAAATTACAATGACAAACTCTATTTTCTTTTGAAGTAAATTTTGTCTAGTTCACAGAGAAAAAAATAATAATTACTTAGATTAAATATTTTTTTTTTTAGTTATCTCTACCTATAAAACTAAAAACGTGACTTATTTAAAAGAACACAAAACACGAATTTCCTACTTTTCTGCCAAAAATCGGACAATTTTTTATACAAGCTTTTTTGTAGCTTTTGATATCTGCTATCACTCCTATAAATATTTTTCTATGTTTACGGGACACACTATATTTACTGTTAAATATATAAAGTTATATAATATATAAACTTTAAACACTTCTCCTGTAAAATTCCACTTTTTTGAATCATATTATATTATATTATATATATATATATATATATATATATATACCCTTCTTACAAGCGAACGGTATATTTACATTAATTTATAACTCACTCTATATTAGTTATTGTTGTTCCACATTCTAACATCCTTATGTGTTATTAAATTATTCTGTTAATATTTATTTAATTATATTGGTCATTAATCTTAATTTAAACTCAATAATAATGTTGTTTATTTAGCCCGGATGAAGACTTCCAAATCGGGTTGAAACTATATTTTTAATTAATAGTTTATAATACTTTAGTTTTAGTTTTTGTTTTTTTTTTTGCCTTTTTCTGGTTTATCTACTTCTACCCCTTCATTCGTAAAACCAGCAGACACGCTATTCTGATCAGTCATGCGTTATTGTATCCACTAGTAATGAAGGGGCAATCAGCCATAACTCAATAGTTTTTTTTTTTTTCTTGAAAAATAACCTATCTTGTATCCATATTCACTCATTTTTTTCATATCATATATATAATATAAAAATGTTGTACTTGAGATTTTTTTAAAAATAAGTTAATTGTTAATAAGTAAGAAAGTACTTTTATTTATATAAAAAAAAAGGTGTAAAGTAATGTATCTTTTAATTAAGAACAAAAATCTTTAATAGGTTATAAACATTTTTTACTGTTCACCAACTAAATCTAAAATTTAATTTTTGGTCTTATATTTAAAATAATATGTTGGTTTTTCATCTAGACAAAATCTTTATTTTGTCGGTTATTTTTTATTTATTTTTTTGGTGGTATTTTTCTTCTAAATTATAGAAAAATCTTTTATCATTAATATATATTTCATATGTTAAAATTAAGTCAAACAAAAAAATTAAATTACATATAAATATTTTTTTCAGTTAAAAAAGTAAAATATATTTCATTTTCATCTATATTTTAAGACAAAATTTATTTATTTTGTCAAAGATATGTTGTTTTGGAAATTTTTGTATAAACTATTTTTTTTTTTTTATACATGTATGTAGATAAATAATTTGCACATTTTTCATCCATCTTTTCATCACTAGAATGAAATAGAGAAAAAACTACTTTGTAGCGCTTTATGGTGGAAAACTTTCGATATTGTGAAAAATATACTAAAGATATGCATTTAAATTATACTTTTACACAACAAGAACTTCTAGTGGTTGGTCATGTTTCCGCAGCCCTGGAAAGCAAGTAATATTGCTCGGGTGCATTTTTGGACTTAGTTCAAGCTTTAGACCGGGTATGGCACGGTGGGCTTTTTTTTAAAGCTTAAAGCCCATCGTCCCCCCGGTCTTTATATCTTGTCCACCGCTCCTGCTTCTCTGATGCGGCCAAAGCGCACGCACTCAATCTTTGCTGAGTTTAGCAGGGATCTCCTGGAGTCCTGCTTTTCCATCCACAGTTGGAGGAACAAGCCTAGCTCGGAGTTTTCTCACCTGATTGTAAATAGTGTATATAGGTATGTATGTGTTATTTTTTAATTGATTTATCTTTAAGTTATTTTATTCTTATTTACTGTACTTACTTTTTGATTATTATTTAGTAGTTATTTCGCTTCTGTTTATTTTATATTGTTTGTATGTGTATAGTGTGAATGTGGTCTTACCCCACTATAACTATTGTCAAATGGATACAATGTTATATTACTCAATAAATAAAAAAATATTAATTTGTGATATTCTTTAATAATATTTTGTTTTAGATACGAATACTTTGATCCACCGGATAGAAGCCAAGGTTCAGCAGTGGTTAATGGTACAATGCAAGGAGTTTTAGGTCTCATTTGGCAAAGGGTGAGATATCCCAAAATGTTATATAAAATGAATCCCAAAATGAAATATGAATGTTCATATTAAAAGCAATCTTTCAATTTTCAATTGTATGTGGAAAGTTATTTTTAATTCTTTAGTTTCTTTTTGTTTAGTTTAGTTTATATACATTTACTTTTAATATTATTGTCTTTCTGTATTATTTATTGTTGATAGATCGTGAACGACCTCTCTGAACACTATTATAAATGTCCTTATTTGTGACAGATTGTAATATCTTTCAATAAATATGTTTCAAAAAAATTCAATGTGTCCAAACATATTTAATTATAGGTAGCAGACATTTTTATTGGTGACCTGACCGTGACTTACGAGAGAAGTCTAGCAGTCGATTTTTCTTTTCTGACATTGACAGACAACGAGGCTTTTTTAACGCATGCGCCGGGAAGACTCAACGAAGCGTTAGCCCTAGTTCGCCCATTTAATTGGAAGGTAAATAAAGATTTAAATTTACGCCTAAATAGTAATTAGCAAAGAGTTATTTACTAACAAGTGCAAATTCAGGATTTAATTTTTTTTTGGGAGGAGGGAGGTTTTTTGAAGGCCTGTTTAAAAAACCGGTAACAATGTAGCTTTTAGGGATAATTTTTTTTTTCATGACAGGCGCTTACATTTAGTAACTGTTTATGCATTATTATTAAAAAAGATAATATATTGTTATTGTTTAAGTATTTATGTAGCTCAGATCACTCAATGTGATTATGGGTCAATGAAAAAGAAAATTATTTTTGTGAGGCCTTAGTCCAAAAGCGCACCCCACCTCCCTAGATCCATCAATCAGCAGTGCATACTAACAAATCGTTATGCTAGTTAAAAAAAAAAAATTGTTCTATAAAATTTATTCTTTTAAATTATTGAATATCTCCCTCTTATTTGCATAATGACTCCAAATGAAAAAAAAAAAACGTTCTAGAGATAATCAAAGGAGACGAAGCTGTGTTAGAAAAATAGCATTATAGTTTCTCTCTCTCTCTCTCTCTCTCTCTCTATATATATATATATATATATATATATATATGATCTCTGGCCCAGAAGCCCCGGAGCACCTTAGTTCAAAAATCTTTTTAGTAATTAATTTTATCTATAATTAACTTTCGTTGACAAACATGTAGATATTGTACTTAAAACGTTCTATATTATAAAGAGATGACAGGTTATTATAAAATGATTGTTCTTTTATTTTCAAAAGTTTTTTCATACGGAAACTTTAAAATTTTCACAATGTGTTTTTTGATTTTCATCTATAATGTGACACCCCGTGTAATATAATGTCCGTATTACACAATATGCGACACCACCGACATAATAAAAAATTAATCAAACTTATCTGAACCGGCGAGGACGTCATGGCCGATCGAATCAGAGTGTAGGTTCTATAAGTTAATGTTTATTTCTTGAAGGCCCTTAGAAATGTATCTCGTCACTCCCACTCTGATTAGTATGTGCTGGAAATATTTAGGTAGCATTTTATATTTCGTTTGTCATTTCTGGCAAGTTTATTTGGTTTATCATTTGGTTGGTTTCAAGAGGCACAACCAAATCTATTCTTGCCACAATGAAAAGATCGAGATTCTTTCAGTGACTGTGCCACTAAATAAGCTTGCCTTAACGTTATTTACGCCAATGATTATATTAATAAAGTAATGTTATGTTCTTCCATCACTTCTAAGCATATTTTTAGACGTTGAAACTTGCTTGGCCCAAATTTGGTGCATGTCTTATGGTGTGGTCATACCCGGATCAAAATATTCTATTTTAAAATATGTTTTACAACCATTCATACATATGAGTAATTTTTGATACTTTAGTAATTATTGGTTAAACTTATATCTTCAGATAGTATTTTTTTTTTTGCCGGCAGATAAAATTCTTATTGATTTTAATAGCATTAAATTTGTGTCAAGGTTTGGCCAGCGGTGGTGGCAACGTTTATCCTAGCAGGTGGTCTCGTTTATTTATTTTTCCTTGCAGCGAATGGCTGGAAACCACACAAAAGAAAACTGTTGTACCAATGCGTTTGGATTACAACTTCAATTTTTCTTAAGCAGAGTAAGCAATTTAATTATTCCTTCAATAATTATCAATATTTTAGATAAATATTACCAATCAACTTTAATTAACTATAATTGTTTGAAATTAATTTTTAGATACCAGCGCCAATTTGAAATTTGACAGAGTTCGTTTTTTGGTGATCATTCTCTATTTGATATCTACGTATGTAATTGGCGACATGTATTCAGCCAACTTGACTTCAATGCTCGCTAAACCTGCAAAAGGTAATCGAACCATTGTGTCGATGGTTTAGCAATGTACTATTTTATTATTTCTTTAACTTTTCAGAAAAGTCTTCTCATTCGTATACCTAGAAAGTTCATTCATGATTTTTTTCAATGATTTATATATAATTATATTATTATATATAATTCACATTTCTAATACACCCAGCGACAATTCTGTTGCCGCCAACAATAAACCAAATGAGACCACAGAACCTCACGCGTTCACCGAACCAGAGCCACCACCGATCTACGTAAGTAAAATTGATAACTTCATGCAGTTCGGTCAAGAAATAGCCGATCTTATCGGACAGCTTAACTTCCGGTATTTTTCTCATATTAATGATATAAAGATCACAAATTCCAAAGATAATTATAAAAAATTCATTAAGTATTTGACAGCAAATAATTATGACTTTCACTGTTACCAACTTAAAGAAGAAAAAACATATGGGTTATTTTTGAGAATTCATCACCCATCAAGACATCGGCCACAACGTAAGGCATATATCTTCTACAGAAGTATTTTTGTAATACATTACATCCTATTGAAAAATTTCCTATACCATTATTTTTCATTAATCTTGAACCAGCCTGGAATAATGCCGAAATCTTTAAAGTTGATAGATTGATGTATTCAACTACGGTCAAGTCACTATGGTGGTTGTGTTCACATCGTCTCCGTGCGATACAGTTTAAAAAAAGTGCTGTAGTTGATTTTGCTGAATGAATCTGTGCAATTGTGATCAACTACTATTAAAGAACAAACTGTTAAAATTTACTGAGTATCACACGAGCCGATCGTACTAAATAAGGTAAAAATTATTTTACATTTTTGTGACAGATTAAGCAGGTCTATAACAGGATTATTTGGGTGGGGGAAGCTCCGTCCTTATCTATCCAGGCCTTTAACTTCAGTACCTATCTGGCCCTTAGTCGAAGTTGCGCTAATTTGAAGAACACTGCACTTACGTGTTCAATTAAAATAAAAGAAACATTTTTTTGAACACTTCCCGTTAAAACTATTAACATCTTAATAAATATCGTCCACCTTCGTGAAATATATCTTTAAAAAATGGGTTGTACTAACGACGAGATTATTCAGGCTGTTAAGGAAATAAACTCAAATCTGGAAAAGAATAATAAACCAAACGGCGAGGTAATTGAGGAGTTGGATACATTAAAAAAACATTGCATCCATTTAGAGGAAAAAAATACTCGATTGGAACGAGAAATTATATTTCTAAATAGACAATTAAGGCGGAATAATCTTGTTATACGTAACATACCAATGACGGAAAACGAGGATGTCTTAGATGAAGTAAACGATTCCTTAAAAACTGTCAATATAGCACTACCGGAATATGCTGTTAATAATTGCTTCAGAATAGAAAAGGGCCCCATATTATTGTCATTAAATAACAGCTTCTTAAAATACGAAATATTTAAGAATAGAGATGCTCTAACATCAAAAAAAAAAAATATGTGAGCCATGACAAAACCCCCGGAAGAAAGAGAACAAGGGAAAAAGATTTTCAGTTACATAAACAAATTAAAGATTATTGATTCTCACGCGTCCTACAAAAAAGGTCTTTTTAAAATAAGAGGTACATTGTACGCACTTAATGAAGTAGAGGCACTGTTAGAGAACTTCAATGATGACCAGCAAGAGTTGGAACCCTCTCAAGCAGCAAAAAGGAAAAAAATAGAGGAAAAATTGGGTGAGTATAAGTTCAGAAGCTCATCGAAGGAACACACCTCCACTTGACATTTTGCTTATGATAATTCGTTTTCATCTAAAATAATAATAAATTTTAAAGCTAAAATGCTGGCGAATTTAAGTGCAAACCACTCATACGAAGAGTTATTAAAAATATTATTCTGTAACATGAATGGCTACAAAAATTTAATAAATCAAAGTATAGAATCAAATATAATCAAATAAAATAAAATTATCAGTATGGTAGAGACCTGAATACTTAATGAATTTACCGTACCGTCCTGGGTCAATGATTACTTTGCTTACTATTCTTATGCCGTGAAAACACATATAACTGGCAGAGGAAGTGGGGGATTGGCAATACTGATTCATAGCAGCATAGCTCACGAAGTTACCGTCTTGGAAATCAACCGCTTTTGGATTTGTTTGAATATAAAATTAAATAACAAGTTTTTAACATTGGGAAATATCTATCTTCCTCCAAATAATGATATTGTTTCTAGCATGGATGAACTTCATAATGTCATGACTCGCATAATGTCTAACTATCCGCATAGCCGCATTATCTTAACCGGTGATTTTAATGGACACGTGGGAAGTGATTTAGAGAAAGCATTTTTGTCGGGCTCACGACTTTACAAAAAAAAAGATTATCATATCACAAACATGTGAACCGGCGAGGAAAAATTCAGTTAGAAACTCTGGAGTCTCTGGGGATGATAATATGCAATAGACGTACTTGTTTCGGATAGGCCAGGAAAATATACTTTCGTTACAACCAAGGGGAGATCGGCGATCGATCTGGTATGTATAAATGAAAATTGTCTGGACAGATTTATAGACATGGAAGTCGTTAGCATATCAGGGCTTTTGGATCACATGGCTTGTATTACCTCCTTGCAAACCATTAGATCACAAAATCCTCCTATGAACAGAATAGCTTCGCCAATAGAATGCTTAGTTACCAACTATTCACCGTGGGATGAAGACAAGATTAATTTATTTTGTGAAAATATTTCCAACTCTGAAAAAATTTATTTCTATTTGGAAGATGTAAACCAGCTGTATGATAACTTTAAACAGGCAATGCAGGAGAACTTGTTGGAATCAGCTTTAATATTTACGAGGAAGATGACCGCGAATACCACTTCGCAACCTAAGCACAAATGGTTTGATCAGGAATGCAGGAGAGGTAAACGAAATCTTAAGAAGTTGCAAAGAATTATGCAAAAGGACAGTTTATTGACAGGATTTATCAGAGACTTCCTTCAAGCCCGAGATGAATATAGAAAACTAATAAAAAGGAAAAAAATGGAGTTTAGAACATCAGTAATTACAAATTTGAGAACTGTAAAAAACAGTGGAGAGTTTTGGAAGACGGTGAATGTGTTGATACCATTTCACAATCAAAATAACGAAATAAGTCTGAACGATTGGTTTCAATATTACACGAATCTATACGGCTAAAAAACGATACATGAAACATACTTTTTCTCTGTAACTCATCCACTCATGGATATCAATATATCATTGGAAGAACTGCAACAAAGCATAGGTACTTGTAAAAAACATAAATCTCCAGGACCTGATAATATAACTTATGAAGTTGTTAAATCTCTCAACCCCTCTTGGGAGCACTACATATTAAATTTATTTAATAACGTATTGAATTATGAACAAATTCCAGGAATGTGGGCAAAATCTAACTTGCATCTTCTGTATAAGAAAGGTGATAAAAAGGATCCGAACAACTACAGAGGCATATCCTTACTTAATACTCTAGCAAAGTTATTCACTAGCATTCTAAGGAACAGAATCATGAAATGGGCTGAATTAGAAAAATTAATACCGGAGGAACAGGCGGGTTTTAGAACGGGCAGGGGATGCATTGATCACATATTCACATTGATGTCAGTTGTCAACATTAATTTGAGGTCAAAGGGCAGCTATTTTTACGCAGTGTTTGTGGACCTTAGGAAGGCCTTCGACTCTATCAACCAAAATTTGTTGTGGGAAAGGCTTTTTTTCTCTTGGAATGGGGGGGGGGGAGAACTAATTAGACTACTCAAAAAACTATATAATGCTTCATCGATGCGGATAAAGTTAAAACATGAGCTCTCAGAAGAGATTGGTATCAGTCTAGGCCTGCTTCAGGGGGACAGTCTTATTCCTGCATTGTTTATCCTGTTTGTGTCGGATATAGTTGAGTACTTCCGTGACCGAGGAGCTGTTGGTATTAGTATAGACCACAACCATGAAGTAGTTATGCTTCTGTTTGCGGATGATATTGTGCTCCTCAGTAATTCGTGGCATGGTACACAAAGAAACATCAATATTCTGAGCAAATACTGTAAAAGCAAATCTTTGACCCGAAATCCATCTAAGTCTAAGGTGTTGGTGTTCCATAAATCTCCAAAGATGAAGAAACTTAAGACTTTAGCTTGGCGAAACACAAGTTTGAAGTATACCAGAAACTACACATTTCTGGGTGTACCCTTTTCTTCTTCTGGAAAATTTGAGAGAGCAGCGGAGCATTTCTTACATAGATCATCTGTTGCAGCGACCAAAGTGATGGCAATCCTAAGAAATGGAAAAAGCGACTCTTGGGAGACAAAATCCAGCCTCTTTGACTGGTTTAGAGACGTTTTAAGAATAATCTCCTGAATAGTCAAATTTTTACATGACAAAATTATTTAAATATTAATTCTTTGCACCATGTTAGTTTTAGTAGACTACCCCTTTAAATAAATATATATGTAGAAAGTTCTATTCTCTATTTAAGTATCATTAACTGACAAATGATATTATTTCACAATTGAAATTTTGGAATAAACAAGTTTGTCAATTACAAATATATTCAAGTTGAAAATATTTAGCTTGTATAGCTACTAGAAGTTAAAATAAATTTTAAAATAATAGAAAATCGTAAATATGAAAAATGAAAACATTCACTCATTGTCAAATGAATATTCTTTTGTTCATTTATGGCTCAATGTTTTATCATCATTATTTTTTTTCACTATTTGAGTGTATATTATTATACATTTTATAACAGATTATGGTTTTTAAGACATATTTCAGTGTTTTTTTTTGTTGCATAAATTCCAGGAATTAATTATGACACTAGTTTACTATAAGGAAAGTTGAACGAATAACATATCATTCTGAATAGTATAATAGGTAGAATTGAATAGAATAGAAAATAATTTTATTCTGGGACAAAGTCCCTTTAGAATAACAAAAAAGTACGAAATTAAAGGTAGCACTTATTGTTAAATAGAAACTTAAAGTTTTAATTACCATACTCCT